CCCTATTGCATCTATGGGCCCGTGTCATCATTTTTGGGTTTTTCCCCAACTCCCTTAGTGCTTTACAAAGGGTATACAAAAATTTTGATACCCCCCTCACCCCCTTTGTTTTCCGTATCCAAAATTTTGGGTACGCCGCATCCCTTTTTAAGCAAAAAGAATTTTTTTTGTTGGGTTCCCCCGGTAAAGTTGACGTACAGGGCAATGAACAGGCAGACACGCTGCGCGGTCAGCAGTACAGAACCCTAAACCCGTTTTTATAGAGGGAAACCCTGTACGGCTATTTTGCTGGGAATATCTTTCCCCCCTTTTCCCCCCGTTTTGGCCAAAAAACGTTGGTCAAATTTTGCTCGGCCCAAAAAACTTTAGTCTATTAAACCGGTATTGGTTACTGGCCGTCTTCTTATCACCAGTGTCGAGGTTGGGAAATACTCTCTCCCGTCTTTGCATTGGCCCTACTTCGTCTTTCTCATGGATATCTATGGGAGGGTCTTGCTCCTCTCTTGAAATTGCCCCAAACTCCATTATCATCAGCCCCATTCTGGTTTGGGCTGCCCACTTTATAAACGAGCAGCGAATTTTACCTCTGTCGTCGGTTCCCTTTCCCCCCCGGGCCCCTCTTTACCTTCCCTTCTCGCTTTTGGGTACCCCCCCTTTCAAACCGGACTCTCTCATTGACCTTTTTTACAAAAGCTGACTTATTCACAAAATTTTGATACTTTTTAGCCCTTTCTTTCTTTATCTCTTGTACCCCCCTTTCCCCCGTACATTTCCCCCCCGGGCCCCCCTTGTTTTTTTGTAACCTGCTGATCATCCCCCCCCCCCTTTTGCCATTTCCCAAATTCCCCTTTCTTTCCTTTCCCCACCCGCAGCGCTGTATAGCCCTTTTGGCTTAGCGCTTTTTTTTGATTTTAATAATAAAAATAATAGGGTCCCCGCCCAAAGGGTTTGCTGTTCGGCGAGGGTTTAACCCCCATCGGCGTTTTTGCCCACTTTGGGGCCCCATTTTCGGCCAATTTTATGTACTATCGACAAAAACATGAATAATTTCCCCGAAAAACCCCCATTTTTTTTTGGAATGAGTGCAAGAAACCACCCATTTAAAAAATTCAACTATCCCGTACAGTGGTCCCGAATTTTGCAATTTTGGGCCCAATTTTTACACAAATTTCAAAAAGATCCAAAATTTTCCCAATAGGGTCCAGAATAAACAAAAAGACATTCCCCCGGGCCTTTAAAAAGACATTTCCTTTGTCCCTTAGTACGTCCAAAGGCCCCCCTTTTTATTTTTTTGCTTTCCACTTTGAATTTTTATTCCACAAAAAAAATAAGGGTTTACTGTTATGCAGACTACTCATTGGGGTAAAAAATGGGATAAAAATTATTGGTGCACTTGTGAAAGAATATTAGACTCACCATTGACGTGTATTGCACGCTTGGCACGATTTGTTTACTTTTGAAGTTTGGTAAAAATCGAACATTTCTGCTACTTTGAGCTCAATTTCAAGGCACCTTTCATTGTAAAACCAGTCAAAATCATCTCAATTTCTGTAATATGTCTTCCATTCTATAAAATGAGACCAAGAAAACTAGAATACAACAATAAATACCATACGAAAATACACTGCAAAGTCGCTGATTTATTAAAAAAAATGGTCAAAGTTTTTTTTTTCTCATTATGCACTGTGTGCTGCAGGATTTTTTTTAGACTGTGCACACTGACCACATAGACCCATTCTTTCGTATGAAGGCCTACCAGCTTTCTCTCACTAGATTTGAGGCCGCTAGAATTTATGAGTACTAGTACGTCAAAAACCCCTACGCGTAAGACGTACTAGTACGACCAAAACCCTCAAAGGGTTAATATTGGTATTAAATAAGTGTTGTACAACTGAGCAACCCTGGTATTAGATTGGGTCCTTGCCATCGAGGGTAACCAGTTGTGTCTCACTAACTATACCACACACTTGTTCTGCCAGTCAGTATTGTCAGTATTTCCCTCAAATGAGTTCCGAAAATTGGTGTAAACTGACTTCGATAGGATAGTTTTAAATGACTTAGTAATCATTTAGTGACTTAGTAATCATTTAGTGACTTTAGTAAAAAACTTAAATTATTAGTTAATTTATGTTTTTACAGTACGTACATTAATATTGCCATATATTCTACAGTGGTACCTAGAGTTACGAACTTAATTTGTTCCAGAAGGCTGTTTGAGTGCCGATACCAAACGAATTTGTTCCCATAAGGAATAATGTAAATTAAATTAGTCCTTTTCAGACCCCCCAAAAATACCCTTACAAAAGCACTTACAAAAATATACTTACATAATTGTTTGAATTGGGAGCTGTTGAAAATTCAGGGTACCACTGTATTTAATATATAAATAATAAATTATATTAAACTTTTCAAGTGAATTAACCCTTTGACTGTCGCAGCCCAAATCCTGAGGCATCTCCTGGTGTCACAATATTTACAAAAAAAAAAAAAATTATTTTTTCTTATGATATGATAGAGAATCTTTTCACGATTGTAATGACACCAAAAGAATGAAATTTGATGGAAAACTGATGGAATTACGCTTTCGCAAAGTTAGCGACCTCAGCGATGTTTACGAATCGGCGATTTCGCCCACTTTGAGTCCTATTTTCAGCTTATTCCATTGTTCCAGTCGACCAAATTCATAGCTATTTCTTTAGATCTCCTTTTTTTCTATCGATTGAGTACAAGAAACTGCCCATTTACTGATTTCAACTACCCAATAACGTGGTCAGAAATTTGCAATTTGGCCAATTTCACGAAAATTAAAAAATACGACAATTTCAAAATAGGGTCCAGAATAAACAAGGCAGACATTCCTGGCTCTAAAATAACATTTTCTTTGTTCATCAGTCATGTCTCCAGGCCCCTCTGATATTACTCTTGCTTTCTATTTTAAATTTTTATTCAAACAAAAAATAGAAGATTTACTGTTATGCAGACTACTGCAATATTGTAATACAATGTAATTGTATAAATAATGTCAACCCATTCATGACTGCATATCAGAATGGTTACTTGGACATTTATTGGAAAATGACATCATTTGTTTACTTTTGAATATCGGCAAAAATCAAACATTTCCCCTACTTTGAGCTCCATTTCAAGGTTCTTTTCATAGTAAAATCAATCAAAATCACCTCTATTTCTATAATATGTTTTCCATTCTATCAAATGAGACCAAGAAAACGAGAATATAACCATAAATACTATACGAAAATAGACCACAAAGTCAGCATTTTAATCCAAAAAAACGCTCGGAGTTTTTTCTCTCATTATTCGCTGTGTGCTCCAGGATTTTTTTTATATGGTGCACACTGACCACACAGGCCCAGTCTCTCGCATGTGGGCCTACCAGCTTTCTCCTGCGTGATTTGAAGCCGCTAGAATTTATAAGTACATATACAGTATATCAAAAACAGTGGCTCGTAAGACGTATATATACAACCAAAACAGTGAAAGGGTTAAGTAATTACTGTATTTTACAACAAACAAGATACTCTAGTGTCAAGGATGCCCCCACTTCCCCCTCCCCAATTCTGATTGATTAAGTTGTTGTAAAAAAGATAAATGGTACTTAGGCCTCCAAGACTGGGTGAATTCTCAACACTTATGTTGGGAAAAAAAATAGCATCTTCATTGGTGTAAAATATAGCAGTTGATATTCTTTGATTTATTCATGCCCAGATAATGTGATATTAAGCCTTAAGAATCACAAGTATAAGTACGCCTGCTGCATAGGCTGTTAATCATGGCAACATACAGTGGTAACTCGGGATATCAACAGCTCAAAACGCGAACAATTATGTAAGTGTATTTATGTTAGTGCTTTTGTAGGTGTATTTTTTGGTGTCTGAAAAGGATTAATCTAATTTACAATATTCCTTATGGGAACAAATTCTTTCGGTATCAGCACTCGAACAGCCTTCTGGAACGAAATAAGTTTCATATCCCGAGGTACCACTGTACACAGGAATAGCCAAAAACATCTGAATGAAGTGGAATGATGTTCAACCTGTCAGCAAGGATGAAGATTTCATAAACACTTTTTTGTCTAGGAACTGCAATACAGATATGCAAAGCATGATTGGTTTTGATATCTCCAGTGTTTGACCAAACATCATTTTAGGCCATCAAAACACAACCATCAGGTGGTATTATTAATCTGGTGTAGCCACTGTTAGACCAGTGCTGGGTATCAGTGGTTAAGCAACCCCTTTATTACTGAGGTCATATACTGCACCCATGGCTAAGCATCTACTAGCTTTCGGAGCTAGATTTTTCCCTCTAAATTTTAAAAAGAGCAAAGAATTTTTTTTGTGCTTTTGTGATTCTGGCAAAGCTAAAGAATAAATTTGTGTAAACCTGAAGAAAAATTGCTTATTGTTGTACATGTATTTGTTAGTATGCTTGGCCTGCATTACCTTTGTTACTAAACAAAAACAGGGGAAACTGTGAAAAAGGAAAGCAGCTATTGTGGCACCAGCATACAAGGTGCCTCCAGCAGGAGTAACACGCCAGTGCCCAACTTGCACGACACATGTTAACGTCACGTTTTTCTTTATTTTTGTGTACAGCCTCTCCTCACTTAGTGACATACTAAATTTACCGATGACTCAGACTTAGGATGGGCTCTCTGACCAGTATGCATACCTAAATAGTGTATGTTAGAACTGATTTCCTCTATTCTGTTTATTACAAAAGTATACAGTACACTACGTATAAACATTTAAAAATATACTAAAATGTTATAAAAGGTGGGAAAAAGTGACATTAAAAACTATCAAAGATGGTTGATACAAACCCACTACCATTATAGTATGATCCTTGCTTAGTGACGAATTCATTTACCAATGTGGGCTCAGAACAGAACTCCATTGTTAAGTGAGGAGAGGCTGTAATTTAATTTATAATGGAAATTATTTTGCACATTTTAATATTGCCTTTTTTCTCTCCCTCAGTCTTTACCAAGGCGAAGATCACACAGTTCTGGTAGCGGCAATAGCAGCAGTGGGTTAATAGGTACACCATCCTTAGCACTCACCAGGTTATCAGTTTTTGTTTCAGCCACAACTCTTCCACAAATTGCCCCAGCTCCATCATCATCATCACCATTCAGGTTCTGGCCCATCCCTGGTTGTCTACACCTGTGATAGCTTCCCGTACAGGCGGCTAATTCTCCTGCTGGGGTCAGCTCTACTTTCTCAACTTCTTACTTCAGGTTAGAAGGAAAGCAAGAGACAGTTCATTGGAATAGGGGTTGACAGGAAAACAGTACTGCATGGGGAGGTGTGTTACATAGATTGGTAGACAGCAACCATCCGGGAAAGACCACCATCTGTCTGATGAGTGCGAAATGTAAACCTGATCATTTTTTTTCTTTACATCGGCAGAATTGCTGCTCTTTTCTTGCTGTCTCATAAAAAATATAAGTTTTACAGACTTCTACTTATATTCAATAACACATTTCATTTAGTTTTGTGTGTGTTTCTTAATAGTTTTTAATCCTGTAATAGTTCCTTTATAACATTTACAGCCTGACTTGATACTGTGCTGTAAAGATAATTCCCAGAGCCTCTAACAGATAGGCCAAAATACTTAGTTTTGCTTTAACTTTGTAAGTTGTCGTATGAATTGGTACACAAATAACTCGCACATAGGAGAATAAAGCGTGACGATGTTTCAATCTGACTTGGATCATTACCTAGTCAATGTTCTAAGTCAGACTGAAACATCGTCATAAGTTCCAGTCTCTTATTTATGGGTTATTACGTATTGTTCCAGTCATGGTATTTTGCCTTCTTATTCTTTTCCATATGAATGAGGGTTAATAAAAGAAAGAAGTTTAATAGTATTAAAGAATAAGGAACAGTGCCATAGTTCAAATAGTTTATTTTTAACCCACAAGTATTGATTTTTCTAAGTTTAATTTTGTACTTATTTTGAATAGTAAAGTGAATATTGAATAAAATGGCACAATACTTGACTGGAACAAAACTCAGTATCTTGCACATAGGGAGAAATAAACTTACGATGACATTTCAGTCTGATTGGACCATTAACTAGTCACACACTAGTCCACGTTGGACCAAAACATCATCATAATTTTCTTTCTCCTATGTGCAGGTTATTTGCGTAAAGTGAATATATTTTTACTTCAACTAATATTTATTTAATTCCTAGCAGCATTTAATGTATCGAGACTGTTATCCTTTTCTAGGCTATATCCGGTTACTTCCTGTCAGTCAATCAGTGGCAAACAGTTTGCTAGCATCCAGTGCTGGTCAGTTGAATAATTTGAGAAGCAACGCATGACATGGACTGTTGCAACAGTGTTAAGACACCTCTTGTGATACCTGGTGTTATCACAGGTAATGGGAGTGCAAGTAGCAGTTGCAACAGCAGTAACAGCAGCATCTGCAGCCTCAGCAATAATAACAGTATGAAGCCAGTAGTGACTGCTGCTCTTATTGTGCCTCCATCACCCTTTCTGCTGTGACAACCATCAACGCTCAAGACCCAATCCTTCTCCCAGGTCAGTGCACTTGTGGTAATCTCTTAATGAGTCTTCATATCAAATTCTAAGTTCTACTTTTTACACAAGTTTAACTTGAGGTTTTTAACTAAACTTGCCAAAAGTATTTTTTGTTTAACTAGAGTTAATATACCAAAGTTATGCATGTGTATACTATAAATATGGCATATACAGTGGACCCCCGCATAGCGATATTAATCCGTGCAAGAGAGCTCATTGTTATGCGAAATTATCGTTATGCGAATGAATTTTCCCCATAAGAAATAATGAAATCAAATTAATCCGTGCAAGACACCCAAAAGTATGAAAAAAAAATTTTACCAACATGAAATATACTTTTTCCTACACACACAGAGAAGGATACATGCACAATAGTAGAGTAGTACATGCAAATATATATTGTGCATGTACTACTCTACTAAAATGAAGAATAAATGACACTTACCTTTATTGAAGATGCAGCAATGACTGATGAGACACTGTCCTGGGAGTGCCTTTTCTCCTGAGTACTGTAGGTCCTGTTTGGCATTTTCTTCCAGAACAGGCCTTATCACACTGTGTATGCCACTACGATTCTTAAATCTCTCAAACCCAAACCTTTGTGGCTTTAAATTCCCCAAATATGAGCACTGTTCCAGCATTTTTCCCTGTTCACCGGGGGTGTTAGTGCATCCGGGGTTTATTGCATCCGGGGACAAATAAGGACCCCAATGGAAAAAATTTAGACGTCTTTGACACTGATTTTTTTGGTATCCTGGGTGGCAAACCCCTTTGGGGTTAATTGTTTTTTTGGGATTCTCAAAAGCCCCACCCAACAACAGTGCTACAGCAGCAGCAGCGCATGCTACAGCAGCACAGCGGGTACTCAGACAGCAGACGGACAACACAGCACTGACGGTGGTTTCAAACAGCGCAGCTGAAAGGTGGGCAACACAGCTAATGGTGTACAACAGCGCAGACGATGCAAAGCGCAGCAGACGATCTACACAGCAGCAACGATGCTAAAGCAGCAAGACGGTACTACAGCAGCAGCAGAGCAGCAGCTGCAGTGCAGCAGCAGCAGCGTGCGGTGGTACGCAGCACTGTCCCCAATAGTAGCGTGGTTGATTGGGGGTTTTTTATACAACTGGCCAGCTCGGGACAGCATCCATTTCATACTTATCAAGATTTTTTCTTTTCATCTCAAGTAATTCTCCCCTTATTGCGTAGGGTTGGCACTAAAAGCTTTTTTGGGGGCCCAGGTCACTTTTTTTGCGATAAAATCCCAAAAAACTGTAAAATACGAAATTTCCAATTGTATGTTTTGGAGTTACCCGGGGCGGGCTGGTAAACAATGGGCCACCAGGGGAACATGTGAGCGTGGCTCAGGCCGCACATAAACGTCTCAGACGAACCGTGAGGGGGTTTTTTTTAGGGGATGCGAAGCAAAATTTTGGGCGAAAAAATGTAGCGGTATGTGGGTTTTAAGTATGTAAGGCCAACGGTAGCGGGGGTCCACTGTACATAACTGTTTTTGTTTTAAATTTTTTTTACTTATTTTATGTTTAAAATTTTTACCTTTTTTTCATTACCCTAATTTTAATTCCATTGAGTTTTTTTTAAATTTTGTTTTATAGAAAATACAGACGTATTATTTTTATCCAGAGGGCTGAGGGGGGTTATTGGATGGTTGGGAATGTAGGGGAATGGAACAAAATAGAATGACTTCGAGAGTGTATAAATCTGTAGTGGAGGAAGGCGGGAAGGGTAGCCTGGGAAAGGTTGAAGGGGGGAGAAAAGGAGGTTTTGTGTGCGAGGGGTTTGGGACTTCCAGCAAGCAGTGTGGCAGTTAGATGGGAATAAAAACAAATGGTGTTTAGGCTTGATTTGTTTTGGAGTGTGGAAGGTAACATTTATGAAGGGTTTTCAGGAAAACTGGGAGGGCCCGCTTGAGTCTTTGGGGATGGGGAATACAGTTCCCGCACTCTGAAAGGGGGGGTTTAATGTTCTGCTTTATAAATGTAGTGTAAGTACACCTTGAAGGTGGGAGTGAAAAATGATGAAAGCTTTTTTTTGGGGGGGGACCCGCCTTGGTGGGAAATGGCCAGTGTTTAATAAATAAAAAAGGTGGTTTTGTATGTAACCTACAATAACCCGTACACTTTAATTTCTTTCGTGGACCCTCGTAAGTTACCCCCGAATGCGACCAATTTTGTAAGTGTATTTTGTAAATGGTTGAATGAATTTATGTAAGTGTGATGAATAAAAATTAACAGCGTAACACTTACCTTTATTGGAGATTTTCTTTGGTTTTAGACTGGGGAGGGAAGAGGGGTTTTTATATTTGGGAAAGGGGGTCCCCTTCCATCAACACCTCAGGTACCCTTTGCTTTTCTGGGGGTTTCTTCTCTTCTTTTTCTTTAAAAGCCCTAGGCCACCTTGAGTCACTGGAGTCCGTCTCACAAAAAAAACTGTGGAGAGATTGTTTCTGGAAACTCTTTTAAAACTTCCCCCAAAAGGGCCAAAATTTGTCACTGTACATGTTGCCAAACCCGGTTGCAAACAACCTTTTAGGGGGATGTTTCTCCCTAAAACTTTCCATCTTTCCCCAATAGTAAAAACTCTTTAATTTCAAGAAGGGGGGGGACCCTTTTCCATCTCCTTCCTCCTCCTCTGCAGCAAGATTCGAGCTGCGATGTGTTGCTCTTCCTGCTAAGCTTTGCATCCTCAGGGATGACTCTTCATTGGGTCTTCCACCAATTTTCCACATCCCCCAAACTCAACCAACCCCCGGGAAATCCCCGTGCCCAATTGATTTTTCAACAGACATAGGCTCATTGGGCATCCCAAATCCTTCAAATCCCCTTGTCGACACTTTTGGCCCTTTTTCCCCGGCAGAGTTCAAAGTCCTGGTGTCCTCCCCCCCAAAAGCCTACCATAAGAGTTATGGATGGAGGATGCTGAAGTGTTGTCTCCCAAAATTCCCCTTTAGGTCAAGGAGTGTCTGGGGTCACAGTCAAGCACCTGGAAAATTGTTTTTGTGTAAGTTTTTTAAAGTTTGCAAAACCCTGCGGGGTCCATGGGTTGGAGGAGAGGAGTGGATTCGGGGGCAAGAACTTACTGTGATAAACCCCAAAAACCCTGAAAATTATCACCCAAATTTTTGGGGGGATGACGGGTGCATTGTCCTTTACTAGCAGCACTTGAGATCCATTTTTTTTTCCAGGAATATTCCTTCACCTACCCCCAACATTTCTTTAAACCACTGACAAAAATTTCCCTCGGGGCCCCATCCCTTACTATTAGTTTTCCAAAAACACAAAAATTTACTTTTCATAACATTGTTTTCCTGAACACCGGGGATTTTCAAGGTTCACTAGTAATGGCTTACTTGAAATCCCCATAATTAGCGCAGAACATTAGCGTCACCTGTTTTCATAGCTTATGTCCTGGCATTGCCTTTCCTCTTGTGTAATGAAGGGTCCTTTTGGTTTTTTCCAAAGGGGCCTGTTTCGTCACAATTGAAAAATTGTTGGGTTTTCGTCCTTCACTGTTTATGTACTCCGGGAAATTCATGCCATTTTTTCAGCGCCTTGTGGTCTAAATGGCAGCCTCGCCATGCCTTACCACACTGTGTATCCCATGGGTTCAAAATCTCTAAAATTGCCTTTGCGGGGCCTTAAATTCACTCGCTTCACCCTATTTGCGGGCAATTTTCCAAATTTCATGAAACTGCTAGTCTTTTCCAAATAAACAAAGTCAAAAGAGTATTCCTGCTATTTGTTTCTCATTTACCACACCAATAATTTTTTCTCAACCTCTTCCAGTACTGGTGATCTCATTTTTGTCAGCATAGTTACTCCCTTTGCAAAAAAACCAATCCTTTTTTTCATTTTTCTTCCCCATTTGGAACATAAGTTGTGGGGGTTTTTTAAACATCCTGGACAGTTCGGCCACACTTTACCACTTTCTATTGTCAATGGGGTTTTTCTTAAATTCAATCGTATTTTCCCTTCTTTACCAGGTTTGGCACTGGACTTTTTTTGGGAGCCATGGTAGTTTATTTGTACTTGAAGCACTAAAATAAGGGAAATTTATAAAATATTTCGCTGGAGCACGGGGGGGGCCCTTTCCCCCTGGAAAAACAATGCCGACGGGCGGGCCCCCCTGGCCCACCCCGTGCGTAGTGTCCCGAGAACTACGACTCGCGAGTAAACCTATGAAAAGCTAGCCCTTTTTATACAAAAAATCCCCCTATGTTTGGCGAATTTTAGATTCCCGGGGGAAACTACGAAAAGGGGGGGACCACTGATATGTATGTGTAGTGTGACCTAATTTTAAGTAAAGTAGCAAGAATACGAAATCTTGCATTTTTCATGAGAAAAAAAAGGACCCCAGCAATCCTACCGTCATGAAAAACAATTAAGGCATTGTTTACTCATTGGGCGGGGAGGGTGTACCTCCTAGCAGTTGGTTACCAACCTACTCCAGGTGTAGTCAAAATATTTTTAAATTTTTAAGGGTAACATTAAATAGTCTGAAAAATCATAAATTATCTCAGTGCAATTAAAATGTGATAATTTTTATTTTTACATAAAAATTTATTTTTTAATTTTCTTTTCTTCCGGTTTCCCCTGGAGCCCATGTTTCCCAAAGGGGAAAATGAACATTCTCCACCCCCATCCAGAACCCCCTCCCCTCTAATGATAATTCCGTCCCCCCTAAAAAATCTTTTAGGTAGGTAGAAATATGTTTCAGGGGACTATAATTATTTATACGTATATATTTTATTTATCCTGTTTTTACCTTTTTTCCCGGGTATGGGCCCAAATTGGTTTGTTATTTTTATCCAAAACTTCAAATAATTTTTTTTTTTTTTGGGTGAAGACAAATATTTCAGAACTATTTTTTATTGTGCATGTAATCATTCTTAAAATTAGTGATAATAATACTGTCATTGAACTGTGTGCTATAAGTGAACAAGAATTTTTTTTTTTTTTAACAAATCGGTGTCTCCCCCGAGGCGGGGCACCCAAAAAGAAAGAAAATCCCAAAAAAAAAAAAAAAAAAAAAAAACTTTCATCATTCAAAACTTTACCTCACACATATCACTTTTTGCAGGGCCAAATACAACAGTTTGAAATAAATACATATAAAAAATACACATATATCCCCCAAATGCCAATATCCCCAAAACCCCCCCTTTAGGTGCACCCTTGTACTTCCCATTTTCCCGGAAATAAAATCCCGGGTTTTATAAAATAAAACGGTTTTCCCCCATTCACTTATAAAAAAAATTACCCCGTTCACACTCCCCAACTCGTCAGGTCCCAAATACTATTCGCTCTATTCCCCTTTTGTCTAACACATCAAGCACGCTTGCTGGAGTCCCCAAACCCCCTTTCCCCCAAACCCTCCCTTTTCCCCTCCAACCCTTTTTTAGGAGACCCCACCCCCCCTTCCTTTCCCCTACAGTTTTTACATCCATGTCATTCTACTTTTTATCCTTCTCTTAAATGACCAAACCACCTCAACAAAACCCCCTTCATCCCTCTGGTAAAACTGTTTTTAACTCCCACCTCCCAATTTCCCACACTCTGAATTTTTGCATAAAATTTAAACCCCCCAATAGCCCCTTTGAAGGACAAACCCTTGCCTCCCCGCTGCAGATTTACAACCCCAAACTTCACACCCATATAACATGTTTGGTACTATATACTTTAACATTTTCCCTTTTTTCCTCCATAGATAAAAATTTTTTTTCCCCTACATATCCTCAATGCCACTCACTTTTTTTCCCTTTATCAAATTTTATGATTAACCCATCACCTTCATAAATCCCCCGCTGACAGTCAACTCCCAAATATCTCAAAAACATTCACTTCTTCCCTACTCCCCTCCCCATTTTATACCCCAATTTTTTTTTATCTAAATCATTTGATCTCTCTCACCCTTACTCTTTTCTTTTCATTTCAACTTTCTACCCTTTTCACACACTCGCAAAATTTGTCCACTAAACCCTTTTCAATTTTTCTTTAGAATTCCCTAAAACAGTACATCAGCAAAAAGTAACTGTGCAATTCCCTTTTGTAGTAAATTTCCCATAATTTAAACCCCCCCCCTCTCCTGAACACCCTAGCATTTACTTCTTTTTAAAACCCCCTCTTAAAAAATTTTTCACAACCAGGGACATTCCTCCCTGTCTAAGACCCACTTTTTCCAGGAAACAGTCTCCCTCTCTCTGCACACCCTAACCTGAGCACTTACCTTATTTCATAAAAACTCTTTACTACATTAGTAAACTTAACCACCTATTCCATTAATTGCTACATCTGCCACATTGCTCCCTTATCCACTCTATCATATGCCTTTTATAAATCCATAAAATGAATAAAAACTTCCCTGCTTTATCCTAATACTGCTCACTTATGTGCTTCAATGTAAAACACTTGTTCTACACATCCCCTAACCACTCTGAAAGCCTCCTGCTCATCCGGCATTCTACATTTTTTCTCTTACTCTTAATTCTTTCCATAATACCCTACTGTACACTTTTCCTGGTTATTACTCATAAACTTATTCCTCTTAGTTTTTACAATTCTTTTGTCCCCTTTCCCTTTATATAAAGGGACTATCTTACACTTCTGCCAATCCTTAGGTACCTTACCCCTCTTTCATACTATTTATTAACAATATTTCAACCACTCTAACACTGTTCCCCATGCTTATAACATTTCTGTCATGATGGTATACCTCCCTGGCCAGTGCATGAAATTACTGCTTCCTTTCTTCATCCACATTTAAAAGTTCCTCAAAATATTCTCTCCATCTACCCAAAATCTCCATCTCCCTATCTACTAACTCCCCTACTCTGTTTTTAACTGACAAATCCATTCGTTCCCTAGGCTTTCTTAACTTGTTTACTTACTCCAAAATTTTTTCTTATTTTCATGAAAATTTTTTGACAGTACCTCTCCACTCTATCATCTGCTCTCCTTTGCACTCTCTTCACCTTTCTTTTACTCTCCATATACTCTGCTCTTCTTATAACACTTCTGCTTTGTAAATACCTCTCATAAGCTACCTTTTTTCTCTTTTAACACACCCTTTACTTCATCATTCCACCAATCACTCCTCTTTCCTCTTGCACCCACCCTCCTATAACCACAAACTTCTGCCCCACATTCTAATATTGCATTTTTAAAACTATTTTAACCCTCTTCACCCCCCCCCCCACTACTCATACCTGCACCAGCCCACCTTTCTGCCAATTTTTTTTTTTTTTCCAACAAGTCGGCCATCTCCCACCGAGGCAGGGTGACCCAAAAAAGAAAGAAAATACTTTCATCATCATTCAACACTTTCACCACACTCGCACATTATCACTGTTTTTGCAGAGGTGCTCAGAATACAACAGTTTAGAAGCATACATATATAAAGATACACAACATATCCCTCCAAACTGCCAATATCCCAAACCCCTCCTTTAAAGTGCAGGCATTGTACTTCCCATTTCCAGGACTCAAGTCCGACTACATGAAAATAACCGGTTTCCCTGAATCCCTTCACTAAATATTACCCTGCTCACACTCCAACAGATCATCAGGTCCCAAGTACCATTTCTCTCCATTCAGTCCTATCTAACACGCTCACGCACGCTTGCTGGAAGTCCAAGCCCCTTGCCCACAAAACCTCCTTTACCCCCTCTCTCCAACCCTTTCGAGGACGACCCCTACCCCGCCTTCCTTCCCCTATAGATTTATATGCTTTCCATGTCATTCTACTTTGATCTATTCTCTCTAAATGACCAAACCACCTCACAACCCCTCTTCTGCCCTCTGACTAATACTTTTATTAACTCCACACCTTTTCCTAATTTCCCACACTCCGAATTTTCTGCATAATATTTACACCACACATTGCCCTTAGACAGGACATCTTCACTGCCTCCAACTGTTCTCTCGCTGCTGCATTTACCACCCAAGCTTCACACCCATATAAGAGTGTTGGTACTACTATACTTTCATACATTCCCTTCTTTGCCTCCATAGATAACGTTTTTTGACTCCACATACACCTCAATGCACCACTCACCTTTTTTCCCTCATCAATTCTATGATTAACCTCATCCTTCATAAATCCATCTGCCGACACGTCAACTCCCAAGTATCTGAAAACATTCACTTCTTCCATACTCCTCCTCCCCAATTTGATATCCAATTTTTCTTTATCTAAATCATTTGACACCCTCATCACCCTTACTCTTTGCTATGTTCACTTTCAACTTTCTACCTTTACACTCATTCCCAAATCATCCACTAACCTTTGCAATTTTCTTTAGAATCCCCATAAGCACAGTATCATCAGCAAAAAGTAACTGTGTCAATTCCCATTTTGAATTTGATTTCCCAAAATTTAATCCCACCTCTCCCCCGAACACCCTAGCATTTTACTTCCTTTCAACCACATCTATAAATATATTAAACAACCATGGTGACATTACACATCCCTGTCTAAGACCTACTTTTACCGGAAGTAGTCTTCCTCCTTCTACACACCCAACCTGAGCCTCACTATCCTCATAAAAACTCTTACAGCATTTAATAACTTACCACCTATTCCATATACTCGCAACATCTGCCACATTGCTCCTGTATCCACTCTATCATATGCCTTTCTAAATCCATAAATGCAATAAAAACTTCCTACTTTATCTAAATACTGTCACATATATGCTTCAATGTAACACTTGATCTACACATCCCCTACCCACTCTGAAACCTCCTTGCTCATCCACAATCCTACATTCTGTCTTACTTCTAATTCTTAATTATACCCTACCGTACACTTTTCCTGGTATACTCAGTAAACTTATTCCTCTATAATTTTTACAGTCTCTTTTGTCCCCTTTCCCTTTATATAAAGGGACATATACATGCTCTCCGCCAATCCTAGGTACCTTCCCCTCTTTTATACATTTATTAAACAAAAGTACCAACCACTCCAACACTATAATCCCCCCCGCTTTTAACATTTCTGTCATATCCCATCAGTTCCAGCTGCTTTACCCCATTTCATTTTACGTAATGCCTCACGTAACCTCCCCCACACTTACATTCTGCTCTTCTTCACTCCCTAAAAGATGGTATACCTCCCTGGCCAGTGCATGAAATTACCACTTCCCTTTCTTCCTCACATTTAAAAGTTCCTCAAAATATTCTCGCCATCTACCTAATACCTCCATCTCCCCATCTACTAACTCCCCTACTCTGTTTTAACTGACAAATCCATACTTTCCCTAGGCTTTCTTAACTTGTTTAACTCCAAAATTTTTTCTTGTTTTCATTAAAATTTCTTGACAGTGCCTCTCCCACTCTATCATCTGCCTCTCCTTTTGCTCTCTCTCACCACTCTCTTACCTTTCTTTTACTCTCCATATACTCTGCTCTTCTTATAACACTTCTGCTTTGTAAAAACTCTCTCATAAGCCACCTTTTTCTCTTTTATACACCCTTTACTTCATCATTCCACCAATCACTCCTCTTTCCTCCTGCCCCCACCCTCCTATAACCACAAACTTCTGCCCCACATTCTAATACTGCATTTTTAAAACTATTCCAACCCTCTTCAACCCCCCCACTATCACTTTGCACTAGCCCACCTTTCTGCCAATAGCGCTTTATCTCACCCGAACTTCCCCCTCCCTTTTTTGTACATTTTTCCCTCCCTCTACTTTTGTTGCCATCTTCCTCTTTTTTCCCATCTCCCTTTTAAATCAAACGTACTACAACTAAATAAATCCGATATATCAGTTCCCCCTATAAACAGTACTCCTGGAGCCTACCATCAACCTTTTATCCCCCAATCATAATCTAATAAACATTTTATTACTGCTACACCCAACCTCCCAAATACTGCATATATTTCATTCGAACTTCCTCCTCCCTTAGTTTAACACTTCCCCCCCCTTTCCCTTGTTGTTGTCTTTTTACTTTATCCCATCTACCTCTTACCAAACTGACTGCAACAGATAATGATCCTTATATCAGTTCCCTCTATAAAACGTGTACACCGGACCCACCCCAATTTTTTAAACCCCCAAAAATTATCTAACAAACTACTTTCATTACGTGCACATCATACCTTGATATTTATTTATCCTTTTTTTTCATAAAAATGATTACTTATTACCAAACCTCTTTCTACACATAGCTCAATTAAAGGCCCCCCCCTTTTTTCATTTACCCCGGAAACCCAAATTTACCTACTACTCTCTCCACAACATTTTTCCCCACTTTAGCATTAAAACCCCAACCCAAGTTCTCTCCCCTTTTGGTTTCAAAACCCCCACGCATTCACCATTTTTTCCCAAAATCTCTCTCCTCCTCTATACTTCCCCTTTTCCCCCGGGTGCATAACACTACTAAACCCACTCTCACACCCAAACCCTTTTTTTTACTCCCATAACCCTTGAATTAATACATTGATAGCCCCTTTTTTCCTCCATATTTTTTTCCTTCAACATTATTGCACTCCTTCTTTTGCTCTAAATCTTTTGAAACCCCTGCCAATCCCTTTATTTCTCTCCACTAAACTCACCCACCCCCTTCATTTTATTTCACTTAAAGCCAGGACTCCAGTTTTCTCATTTAACACCACAACACTCTGTCTTATCATTTTCACAAACATCCACGGACTTCAACTTTCCCCCCCTTTGACAATTTCTTCTTGTTCTTTTTAGTAATTATTACTGGAAAAAGGGTTTCACCCATTGTTCCCGGGATTTTAGTCCGACTTTTACAACACGCATGGCTTTTCGGTGGGGAAAAATTTCTTATTCCACTTCCCCCCTGGATATAAAAGGAAAAGTAAAAAGAACAAGAATAAGATAAAAACAAAGAAAACCAGAGATGTGTATAAATAAACGTGTACAGGGATGTTTTGTAGGTAGTATTTTGGGGGGAAATGGTTGGTAACAGCAACCGCCCAGGGAGGTACTACCGTCCTGCCAAGTGAGTGTAAAGTGAAAGCCTGTAATTGTTTTACATGATAGTAGGATTGCTGGTGTCCTTTTTTCTGTCTCATAAACATGCAAGATTTCAGGTACGTCTTGCTACTTCTACTTACACTTAGGTCACACTATACATACATGTACAAGCATATATATATACACACACACCCCTCTGGGTTTTCTGCTATTTTCTTTCGAGTTCTTATTCTTGTTTTTGTTTATTTCCTCTTATCTCCATGGGGAAGTGGAACAGAATTCTTCCTCCGTAAGCCATGCGTGTTGTAAGAGGCGACTAAAATGCCGGGAGCAAGGGACTAGTAACCCCTTCTCCTGCATATATTATTAAATGTAAAAGGAGAAGCTTTTGTTTTTCCTTTTGGGCCACCCTGCCTCAGTGGGATACGGCCGGTGTGTTAAATGAAAGAAAGAAATGTATGTTTAGTCTGACCTAAGTGTATATATGTTTTCGCAGAATCAAGAGTGATTTAGAACGAGTCCAGTATAAAGAACACCGCAGAGTTTGTCACATAAATGCAGAGCAGAAACGTCGCTCAAATTTGAAAAATAACTTTGATATTATGCACCAGCTTATTCCTTCCATTAATCAAAAATGCTAATGCCAAGGTAAGCATTGTCTTATCTGAAAACCTTGATTATTAAGGAATATTAAGTTGTCTAATTTATTCTTCTGGTGCACCTATTATGGTATTCTGTCTGTAATATTTCTATACTGACAAAAACCTGGATCTGGTATATAGGGATGTTGTACTTTTTTAGTTATGCATGTACTGTAAGCTAATATTTCTATGAATGTATGTTTAACATTATAATACTTTCACAATTGTATGCTCTGATTCACTATTTGTTCTAGAAGAAAACAAGTAAATCTGTAATTGAATTTATTTTAATTTTTTCTTAATTTTTTCCTCCAGATCAGTAAAGCAGTAATGTTGCAGAAAGGAGCAGAATATATCCATCAGTTGAAATCCGAGAGACAGCAGTTAACAGAACAAGCAGAGAAACTTCGAGCTCAGATAGATGTTCTGTGTTGTGAAATTAGGTAAATATTTTTTCCTTGTACATTTTCTAATTTTTTTTTATCAAGTGCCATTGCCCACCAAAGCAGGGTGACTGTTAGGTGCCAATATTTTTAGGGAAGAGAGACTTATTTCAAAACAAATTTTCTTCTATTAAAGATGTCATAACTGAAAGCCTGCTTTTAAATTTAAGAGAAATTAATGCCAAAATTTTATTTACTTCCAGCAATGCTCAAGCTTTGCTACCAGCCACCGGAGCTCCCATGACACATGCTCGTTACAGCAAGCTCAAGGAGATGTTTAATAACTACGTTCGTGAACGCACATTAGCTAACTGGAAATTTTGGATATTTTCTCTGATCACAGAACTCTTGCTAGAGTCTTACAACACAGCAGTGTCAGCACCAGCTGCTTAGATGACCTTTGCCGTTCCTCCCTTGCTTGGCTCGATCAACAGTGTTCTCTTAACGTCCTTCGACCATGTATGTTACCAAATCCTGTTTATTTTTTTTTCTTTCCAGTTGATCATTTACAAAATACAGTCAACCCTTGCTTTAACTGACTAATAGAGAGAAGGAGTGGGTAGTAATGGTAGAGGTGAGGTAGGCTGGAGTTTAGTGAGGTCATGTGAGCTGAACACTTGTGAGTCACCAAGTGGAGTTTAGAAAGGTCAGGTGAACTGAACACTTGTGAGATCACCAAGTGGTATCATTGAGTAGCTTTAAAATAAGTTGGTGAAATATTTGTGAAGGGTTTTCCTAGCATGGGCCAGCAGACCTACTGCAGGACTTATTCATTCAACTGTTTCATTTGATGGCTGTCTTGAGATGGGCAGTTCAGTACAAGTTTGAAAAACACGTGTGCCCATGTGGGAGATGTAACATCCTGCTTTCTCCTCTAAAGTATTTGTTACCACAATTAGGGATGCTTCTTAACACCGATGTCTCCTTCAATGTGACTCCATGATGATCAGATGCCGTTGTTCAGAAGCATCTCTGATTGCAGTAACAAACACTATAGATCGAAAAACAGGATGGTATACTTTATCTACCACATTGGCACACATGCTTCTTGAACACACATTGCCCTACACACCTTGAGACATAGCCATCAGTTGAAATATGTAAATGAAGAGATGCTGCTGTAGATCTGTTGGCTCATTCTAGGCAGATTCTTCTCATATATTTTGCCAACATATTTTAAAGCTACCCTATGACTCTGCTTGGTAATTTCACAACTGTTCAGCTCAAGTGATCTCACTAAACTCCAGCCTACCTCATGTGTACCATTCCCTATATCAACCTATTGTTTTCTTCAAAACCAAGTATGAAGTGGACAAGGTCCCTGGACCAAAACATTTCCATAATAAAAGGTCAAAGTGTTCACTCACATGTCTTTAACCATAACTTGTCGGTATTATGTGCTAGGTTTTCACCATGCTGCCAAGTGTGCTACTACTGACTACAGCCTCTCCTCACTTAGCAACGTACGTACTTGTTTACTGTTGCGTATGGAGGGGCAAGAATGTTCCACTGATTAAATCTTGTGGAACCAGTTTGTGTAAGGGCTTTGTCTAGGGAAAAACTCCAGTGGCAACAAGGGTTTAGTGCTAAGTGTGAGAGTACATGGCAGGACTACTCGGGAGTGAGTGGGTAAACCTACTGCTTGTGTCAACGACCAGTAACTCTCATGTCAGGTTGATCACATGACAAAAGCTTTGAATCCAGCCGGCAGCATAACTAGCGACCGGTCTTTTAACTAGAGATTGCATCCTCTTTCATTATTAACTAGTTTTCTACTTTTCCTATTTCTATACATATATATTAATTCTAATATTTATATTAAAAATAAAGAGCAATATCCTAGTATCATGATACATGTGGCATCAGATAATAATATAAAGTTGGAAATCTTTACTTTAGTTACTAGTAAAGAAAGTGAAACCACGTAACTGGAATATTTCTGAAATATAAAATGTCGTGCATGGGCATAAATCGCAACATTTACCGACACCTTGGACTTACAACAGGCTCTTTGACCAGTATTCATGCCTGAGTAATGTATATTAAAGCTGATTTCCTCTATTCTGTTTATTTCAATATACAGTACACTACTGTAAAAACATTTAAATAAAAATATACCAAAAATGTTATAAATGGTGCAAAGGTGACATAAAACAATATTAAAGATAGTTGACTCACACTACCATTATAATATGCTCCTCACTTAGCGACAAATTTTTTTAACGACATGGTGTCAGTAACAGAACTCCGTTGTTAAGTGAGGAGAGGGTGTATTGTGTTAAGTAGTGTGAAAAAATTAACAAAATACAAACACTGAAGTTTTTTGTTTGTTTAAGCAACTAGGGAAAATGTTTGTAAACTCATTAAAGGACTTGAGAATTCCTGTTTTGTTAATACATGTATTTGACTGATATTTTTTTTAATATTTGTAGTCACATTTATAGTGATTTAGTCTCATTATGCCTCATATAGAACAGGTGATGACCTTACTTCGGAACTTGTTAGCTAAACTTGACAAAAGAGTTAAACTTTACACAAATTTGGATATAGAGTAGTTTTTTCTAGGTCATTTTTAATTAAGTTTTTTTCTTTGCAGTGGTATCCAGCTCAATGCGCAAACTAAGTACTTCCACAAATGTTTTATCTGACCCTGATAATCTGCCAGAGGAAGTATATCGTCGGGTGACCAAGCAAGAGGGAGACAGATTCCATCATCGGTGATCTTGGGCCTAGATTTCTTTTCTGAAAATTACATGCCAAATCTTGAAGAACACAGATGGCCTATGTTGTTGGAACCTGGTGGTGAGGAGGAAGGCCTAGCTTGTGAAATCTTAAGTCATAATAATGTTTGGGATAAAAGAAATCTTTAAGCAGTCTTAAAAAAATTTACCAAATATGAGTAAGCTGCAGAGGTTGTCATTGTTATTTGTGACCTAGATTTTTAACTAGAAACCACATGCTGTACTGTATCAAAAATAAAGCTGATATTTGCTTTGGTCGTCCACTTTACAAAAGTCTGTCAGGCATTTGTTCTTCCAAAAGAGACATATATATTTTTCCTATATTACTACTGTATATTTGAAATTTGTTACACTTATTTTTGAAAATAAAAATTCTTGAAAGTCAATTTTACAATTCAAAAAAAAATTGGCAGCTTTCCTTTTAAGTTTTACAGAAATTTTATTTATTTTATATTCAGGATTCATACTAAAACTTGAGTTAAACTTTAAATACTGAAACTTTAGTTTTATCTATATCAGTAATGCTGTCTCCTGTGTTGAGGGTAATTTTAGTATTTATTATATATGTACTTCATAAAACCTAGTTGCCATGCAGATTAATTGTTCATGCATATCTCATCAAGTTATATTTGATGTTATCTCTTATTTTGAACTCCCGCTATATTCTATTCTACTTATTACTTATAATGTGTTATGTATTTAGTGTGACGGAGAGTCAACAGGTAACAGAAAAGACACGCATATAACAAAACAAAACCTTTTATTCTCATGACTGTTGATGGCAAGACATCATAATAATAAAAGGCCTTCATTTGCTATGCATCTTTTTCCACAGTCATTTTTTTATTTTCATATCAGAAAATGATACACCAATCATTATCATTTTTCAGTTTTGTTGCTTCTCTAAAGAATTTTTTAAATTGTGTGATTGACTAATTCAATACTGATTTATTTCTTTGCCAGTTCTGAAAAAGGCTGTTTCAAGTCACACATTTTATACCATGTTCAGTGGAAACTGCCATACAGATATCCAGTGTAGTATATAACATATACATATTCATGCTCACTTATATTCAGATATAGGGATTTTTTGAAGAAAAGATTCCATAAAAAGTCCAAGTTACAAGTAAAACCTACTGTTGGGAAAAGAATTTTCATTAATTCTTGAAGTAAACACTGTGGAATTTTAATGAATAATATTTACTTTCATTAATTTTAGCAATGAATTATGTAAGGTGTTTATTCAGTAATTAAGTAAAAATTAGATCAAATGTGCAATAATAAAAAAATTATTGATGTGGTTGTCATAAAAACCTTGCAGAGAAACACAAATTTCTTTAGCAACCACATTTATTTCATCCTGAAATTCCCAGTAGTGACATCTGTATATTTGTAACTTTGAATGCCAACAATTTTCACTAATTTGTTTGTGGTACATATGAAGTTTTTAAGGAATAATATATTTTATGATATAATCAACACAATGCCCCCATGCTCTTTGTTGACTATAACACCACAGCATGTACTAGAAACCAACATGTTTTGACTGTCTCAATATGTATATGGTTTTTGGGCATACCAGTAATGAAAAAGTACTCTGCAAAAAAGAAAAAAGTATAATAGTACTTTCATATTACTATGTATGTAGCATTACATAAGCTCAGTTTTATTCATTGCTGACTGCAGCTCAAAGTCTTGTATTTTTGTGCATTCTCATGGACAAAGAGGCAGGCAGATCCACACAAAAGAGATACCTTAATCACAAATGAGTAATTGTACAGTATATGCTACAGCCAGTGGAAAATAAATAATTACACAACAAGCTAAATACTAAAAATAGGATTCTGTGACACTTACGGGTCCAGTGTTAAGTACTGAACCCGTGTCTTAACAGTGCTGCAGGAATGGATGTGCAAAAGTAGGAATGAGCGAGGGATAGGATGTGTGAAGGTAGAGGTTAGTAGGGGGTGGGGAGTTAATGCAAGACAAAATTATCTGTAAGGATGTAACGGAAAATTACTGGTTTAGAACTGGTTTTCGATTATAAAAATAATTATATACAGTAAATACAAACAGGTACTTGAATCACACAACTCATACACATGATATGATTTAAATGACCCAAAAAGAGATGGTGTTCTTAAATGTAAAGTAAATGTCACTATTAGAAATTGGTGAAAGTTGCAGCAGGCCTCATGAAGATTATAAATGTGCGATAAAATACTGACAAAATTGTATAAATAAAAGAAGAGGAAACTGGACCACTTCTTGGAATAAGTGCCAGATCAGCCAAGTTATGATGGTCGTGGGATGGCAGACTGTTCGCTGGAACAGCCTGCTTGATCAGGCAGTCAACAAGGAAGTTTGGCTTTAGGCTCTGTTGCAAATTTATCACAATAAAACTATATATATGAAGTCACGAGAGACTTATACTCTTCTTGCAAGCTTGAAAATAATTTTCAAATATATTGATGACAAAGTTCAAAAAAAGTTAGATCATAGACTTTCTTTCTTTCTTTCAACACATCGGCCGTATCCCACCAAGGCGGGGTGGCCCAAAAAGAAAAACGCAAGTTTCTCTTTTAAATTTAGTAATTTATACGGGAGAAGGGGTTACTAGCCCATTGCTCCCGGCATTTTAGTCGCCTCTTACAACACGCATGGCTTACGGAGGAAGAATTCTGTTCCACTTCCCCATGGAGATAAGAGGAAATAAACAAGAACAAGAACTAGAAAGAAAATAGAAGAATACCCAGAGGGGTGTGTATGTATATGCTTGTACATGTATGTTTAGTGTGACCTAAGTGTAAGTACAAGTAGCAAGACATACCTGAAATCTTGCATGTTTATGAGACAGACAAAAGACACCAGCAATCCTACCATCATGTAAAACAATTGCAGGTTTTCGTTGTACACTCACTTGGCAGGACGGTAGTACCTCAGTGGGCAGTTGCTGTTTACCAACCTACTACCTAGGTAGATCATAAACACTAGAAAAATTAATTATAAATGCTTTTAAGGCAGTGTCCATTCTCTACTTAAATTTTAAATTTAACAACTTAGAGATTTGCAATAAAATGGATCCCATTTTTAAAGATGGGGAAAAATTTTTGAGAAATATTAAAGAAAAATTCATTCTTTGAATTTATTAATAAAAAAAAACTTTTTTTTTTTTTTTTTTTTTTTTTTTTTTTTTTTTTTTTTTTTTTTTTTTTCAACAAGTTCGGGCCGTCTCCCACCCGAGGCGGGGTGACCCAAAAAAAAAAGAAAGAAAATCCCCAAAAAGAAAAAAAATTTTAAAATCATCACCCAAAAATTTTCACCACACCCCCACATTTTTCACTGCTTTTGGGCCAGAGGGGCTCAAATACAACAGTTTAAACAAATACATAAAAAAAACCCACAACATATCCCTCCAAACCCCCCAAAATCCCAAACCCCCTCCTTTAAAGTGCAGGCTTTGTACTTCCCATTTCCAGGACTCAATTCCGACTAAAAAAAAAAAAACCCCGGTTTTTTCCCTGAATCCCCCTTTATAAATATTACCCTGCTCACACTCCCAAAAATCGTCAGGTCCCCAAATATCAATTTTTCTCCATTCACTCCTATCTAACACCTTTTTGCAACGCTTCTGGAAGTCCCCCAAGGCCCCCCACCCACAAAACCTCCTTTACCCCTCTTTTTCCCAAACCCTTTTTGAGGACGACCCCTACCCTCTTTTTTCCCTTTCCCCTTTTAGAATTTTTTTTTTTTTATGCCCCTTTTTTTCCCCGTCCCTTTCTTCTTTTGATCCTTTTTCTCTAAAAAAAAGACCAAACCACCTCCAAAAAACCCCCCTTCTGCCCCTTTACCAAAAGCTTTTTTTTTAACTCCATCCCCCCTTTTCCTAATTTCCACACTCCGAATTTTTTTTGCATAAAATTTACAAACCCCCACATTGCCCTTAGACAGGACATCTCCACCCCCAACCGCTCCCCTGCTGGGATTTACCCCCCCAAGCTTTTACATCCATATAAGAGTGTTTTGGGACTTTCTATACTTTCATACATTCCCTTCTTTGCCTCCATAGATAACGTTTTTTTTGACTCACAAAACCTCAACGCACCACTTTAAAACCTTTTTTTCCCCCAAAAAAAATTTTATGATTAACCCCCTCCTTTTAAAAATCCATCCCCCCGACAAAGTCAACTCCCAATTTTCTGAAAACATTCACTTCTTCCCTACTCCTCCTCCCCAATTTGATATCCAATTTTTCTTTATCTAAATCATTTGATACCCTCATTACCTTACTCTTTTCTATGTTCACTTTCAACTTTCTACCTTTACACACATTCTCAAACTCATCCACTAACCTTTGTAATTTTTCTTTAGAATCTCCCATAAGCACAGTATCATCAGCAAAAAGTAACTGTGTCAATTCCCATTTTGAATTTGATTCCCCATAATTTAATCCCACCCCTCTCCCGAACACCCTAGCATTTACTTCTTTTACAACCCCATCTATAAATATATTAAACAACCATGGTGACATTACACATCCCTGTCTAAGACCTACTTTTACCGGGAAGTATTCTCCCTCTCTTCTACACACCCTAACCTGAGCCTCACTATCCTCATAAAAGCTCTTTACAGCATTTAGTAACTTACCACCTATTTCATATACTTGCAACATCTGCCACATTGCTCCTCTATCCACTCTATCATATGCCTTTTCTAAATCCATAAATGCAATAAAAACTTCCCTACCTTTATCTAAATACTGTTCACATATATGCTTCAATGTAAACACTTGATCTACACATCCCCTACCCACTCTGAAGCCTCCTTGCTCGTCCGCAATTCTACATTCTGTCTTACCTCTAATTCTTTCAATTATAACCCTACCGTATACTTTTCCTGGTATACTCAGTAAACTTATTCCTCTATAATTTTTACAATCTCTTTTGTCCCCTTTCCCTTTATATAAAGGGACTATACATGCTCTCCCCGCCAATCCCTAGGTACCTTCCCCTCTTTCATACATTTATTAAACAAAAGTACCAACCACTCCAACACTATATCCCCCCCTGCTTTTAACATTTCTGTCATGATCCCATCAGTTCCAGCTACTTTACCCCCTTTCATTCTACGTAATGCCTCACGTACCTCCACCACACTTACATTCTGCTCTTCTTCACTCCTAAAAGATGGTATACCTCCCTGGCCAGTGCATGAAATTACCGCCTCCCTTTCTTCCTTAACATTTAAAAGTAAAGGGTGTGATAAAAGAGAAAAAGGTAGCTTACGAGAGGTTTTTACAAAGCAGAAGTGTTATAAGAAGAGCAGAGTATATGGAGAGTAAAAGAAAGGTGAAGAGAGTGGTGAGAGAGTGCAAAAGGAGAGCAGATGAAAGAGTGGGAGAGGCACTGTCAAGAAATTTTAATGAAAATAAGAAAAAATTTTGGAGTGAGTTAAACAAGTTAAGAAAGCCTAGGGAAAGTATGGATTTGTCAGTTAAAAACAGAGTAGGGGAGTTAGTAGATGGGGAGAGGGAGGTATTAGGTAGATGGCGAGAATATTTTGAGGAACAAAAAATATTATTATCATTATTATTTGTAGTATTATTATTTCAGATTGAGTATCCTTTATCTGAAATGCTTGGGTCCGAATGTATCTCAGATTTCGGAATTTTTTGGATTTTGAAATATGAAATAGCTTGGGGATGGGACCCAAGTCTAAACACAAAATCCATATATATTTTATATAGAGCTTAACATATAGGGAACAGTTTATCCATATTTTTAATAAAAGCGCATTGGCAGAATACCTGCATAACTGTTTTTAAAGGGCAACAGCAATCTCAAACTCCCCTTTGATGCTGATTTTTTTTAAAGGGATTTTATAATTATTTTTTTATCACTTACCCAAGGGTTATCTGCAGGCCTTTTTTTTACATTTTCAGCGTATCTTTTCCCCCCACAGAGAAAAAATAAGCACAAAATGCACGTAACGAGTGAGTACGTAAAGTAAGCACATAGATTGGTGGGGAAAACTGTTAAAAAAAAGATGGCACCAACAAAATGACAGAGCCCCCCCCCCCAGGGGATGTGAGGTGTGTGTTGCAAATGTCTGGGGGCAAACGAGTTTGGAAACCAGGGTTTCAACCTAAAGATGTACAGAGTGAACAGGCAAAAGGGGGGGTTGGCCCGTACATTGCAAGCACTTGTTTGCACAGAAAGTTAAAAGCCCCAAATGACGAGTGGGAAATTTTAGAGTAAAGGTCGAGAACCAAAACTAGTCATTGTGGTAGTTACAAAGCCTCCCGGGTGCAAAATCCCAGCAATTCCAGGGAAAAGCTGTTAAAAAAATTTCCACGTCTGGAAAATCTTCAGCTCCCGCACCCAAAAACTTGCTCCTGGGGGTTTCAACTTAAGGGACCTAAAATGGAGGTATAGCAAATAATATTGTTGCAGAAATAACACCAGGGGGCGCTCTGATGAAAATCACACTCACACGACTTTTAAAAACTCTGCAAAAAAATTCAATTTAAACCAAAAAATAATGAGCCTAAAAGACGGGAGAATAACAGACCTCTCTTCACTCATATATCTGATAAAAATGTCACCATTTAAAAAAACAAATCTCAGATACAACATAATTGGGGTTAACTGTATGCATGGAGCCCCAGGACGACAAAATGAGACTATCAGAGGGGACATTCACCAAATTCAATTTCAATAAAAAAAAACATAAAGTGGGCCAAGTAAACCAAGTCCCCAACCATAAAGCTGGGAAAAAACTAAGAAAACAGACCCCCAAAAATTATGCCTAGAAGATTAATCGGTGGCAAATCGATGTATGCACAAGGGTTATTCCCTAAGAAAAAAGGAGTAGATGTAAAAAAGGAGACAGGGCGCTCCCCTTTACAGGCGACGGAAAAGAATAACAGAGCGGCTAAAAGAGGTCAATATATCTGAAATGCGCAGGAGACACTGGTCAGAGAAATAGCAAGCATCGAACTTAAGCTAAAGAATCCTTTAGGAGTCAGGAATCGCGGGAAGACTAAAAGCCATAAATGAAATCGAAAGAAACCCAAAAGTATTTTTCTCCTAGGGCCAAATCAAAATCGAGAACAACGTCCAGTATTGGGCCCCTATTTAAACAAGATGGGTCCTACACAGATGACAGCAAGGAAATAGTGAGCTACTCAAGTCCCAATATGACTCAGTTTTTAGCAAGCCGCTAACCAGACTGAGAGTCGAAGACCAAAATGAATTTTTTATGGAGAGAGCCACAAAATTTGACTAACACAAGCCTATCCGATTTTAAATCCTGACGCCAAATGACTTCGAACAGGCGATAAATGACATGCCCATGCACTCTCCCCCAGGGCCAGACTCATGGAACTCTGTGTTCATCAAGAACTGCAAGAAGCCCTATCACGAGCCTTTTCCTCCTATGGAGGGGGAGCATGACACGGGGGTCGTCCTCAGTTACTAAAAACAACAGACATAGCCCCACTCCACAAAGGGGGCAGAAAAGCAACAGCAAGAACTACAGACCAATAGCACTAACACCCATATCAAAAAAATCTTTAAAAGGGTCCTAAGAAGAAAGATCACCACCCATCTAGAAACCCATCAGTTACACAACCCAGGCAACAGGGGTTTAGAACAGGTCGCCCTGTCTGTCTCAACTATGGATCACTACGACAAGGTCCTAAATGCACTAGAAGACAAAAAGAATGCAGATGTAATATATACAACTTGCAAAAAGCCTCGACAATGTGACCATGGCGTAATAGCGCACAAAAATGCGCGCTAAAGGAATAACAGGGAAAAATCGGTCGATGGGTCTATATTTCCTCACTAACAGAACACAGAGAGTAGTCGTCAACAGAGTAAAGTCCGAGGCAGCTACGGTGAAAAGCTCTGTCCCACAGGCACAGTACTAGCTCCCATCTTGTTCCTCATCCTCATATCCGACATAGACAAGGATGTCAGC